TTCCTACTTCGTTATTATGTTTGAAGGTTTCTACTACATATGGAGGAATGAGTGGTCGAGATATGAATGCAATGGCTGTTGGTCTAGAAGAAGTAACAACGTTTGATTATTTGGAAAACCGAATCAAGCAAGTTGCGTTCTTGGATAAGAGGCTCAAGAATTATGTTATTCCATTGTAATTACAAATTGGAGGTCATGCTGTTTACATTGACGCCAAGAAATGTCTACCAAACGTATCTGAAGAAGAGTATGTTGCTCAAACCTCTTGAAGCCGGCGTACGAGAAGTTGAGGTTGGCACTTTATTGGCAGATCATGATCCAGAAACAAAGAAGAACCGATATCCAGAAGTCGAATTTTTACGACTAGTTGTTCATCGTCGAATTTATACAAATGACCAAATGCATTACGTGGCTATTGCTTATAAAATTTTTCATCGAAGGAGAGAAATTATTCATAATTGATAAGCGTTATAACAATCACAGTTATTTATAGCTTTCGAAGTTTATAGCACACTGACTATAACGAATTAATAATAGATACTCTCCCTGGTGCATCGCCTTGATTATATTTATAGTCGTGGGAAAGTTTTCTAGAAAATTCAGATTACGTAACAATACAATTTAAGTGTTTACGTACATTCATATTTTGTTGATTCTTACTCTCGAGAATCTTCTACAACTTTGGAGAATAGGCAGGAGTTTTGCAATACATATTTAACAGTATAAGCCATGTATGTTTATAAATATAAATTTAATCTAAATAAACGTTGATATTCAAATAAATATATAATAACAAATTCGTTAGAGGGAATATAAGTAAATATTTCTATTGAACGCAGGAAATTCGGCGTAAAATTTGTAAGTTTTATGGTGATCTGTTTTTCTGCATTTTAACAGTTCTCTTGTATTGTATTGAAGTATGACGAATATTTGGGTTATACCCTTATGGTAGTTATAAAAGTACTTGGGGAAAACAGAGAAGTTTATCGTATAACTTCTTTAAACCCCGCAGAGGGACACGTTTTTTTTGCCAGTGGATATAGTTTCAATAAAATGAAAACGGATAAATAATTTTATACATCAATAAGAAGGGAAATATTGAAAACATCAGTTAGAAACATATAACGATTAATCGGTCTTTTTAAAAACCAAGCCACAACAGACAAAGAAAACGTAGGAGTTGGTCCCAAACATATAATACCAATGTGTATGTTACAATGTAGGGAACGATAAGATGTGTCAGACTTCACAGAGGAAAAAAAGTAAATGTGGGTACTTAGCTCCACAATATGGCAACGTCTCACATAATTATCACCTTTCAATGTCTTAACCATTTGTAACCTGTACCTCGGTGTTATTTGTTTTGTGTTGGCTGCTAAGTTGTTTTTCTTTTTTGTGGTCTTTTTTTTTTGTCACAAAATTGTGCTTATAATATATGTGTGTGTATGTTTGTCAATATGTTATACACTATATTCTCCTTATAAACAACCATATATAGTTCAACTGTGTGTTTTGAAAAGTTATAAAAAAAATGAAATAACTCAGATCATCGGAATGAACTTGATACCTTTCAGAATACTTACGTTATCATCTCGCTATCCGGTTTTTCATACAGAGTAATTTACTGAAGTGAATAATTGGGTAATTACTGGAACGAACTGCAAAATTCGTTTATTATTTGAAAAAAATTCACAAAGCGCAAAAAATTGTTCATATGGGTGGAGCGTGCCTGGTAGTTAGCGTGCTGAGATTGTGAATCCGAGGGTTAATGGTTGTAGGTTTGTAGGTTGTAGGTGTGTTATAAGAGTAACAGGTTAAATCCCACTATTCGGCCAGACAGTAGTAGCCAAAGAGATGGTAGTGGTCTTGTTGGCTAGCTACCTTCTTTCTAGTTTATTAGTTCAAAATTATGGTCGACTAATGTGAGGATAGCCCTTTCTATGGCATTGCGCGAAAATTCTTAAACAAAACAAACAAGCGTATAAATAAAATATTTGTTTACCTAAACATTTTTGGGAAGCCATCGGAGCCATGACTTGCGACATAAGTTTCGACTACATGTTCGATCACTGCGTAATGGCCCTGTATATAGAAACAAAACAATCATACGGTATTGATTCAACGTGTTTAATCAGCACATTGTATCCTTGTAAATTGTTAACCAACAGACACATAACGTACTAACACTTTACGTTACATAATGCATACGATCATTTAAGAAAAGCTCTTGCAGCATTCACCAATTTCTGTTTTCATAGAACAAACATATATATGTGAAGAGAGTGAGTCACTTACAACAGAGACAGTCTGGTTCTTCGACAACGTTTTGAGTCACTATGTTATGATTCTGTTGGATACCTAACTAAGTAACATAACACGTTGATCCAACGCATTGTAGAGATACCATATGATTGAAAATTACATTGACATTGACTTGTTCTTCTACACGTTTGACCAATACATTATGGCCCCGATAGCTTGCCATAAACGCTAGATAAAATCCTAATATAGCAAGTGTTTTACGATTTCAAATCATACATGTTAACAAAAAATTCATGTAATGAAATTCAGTTGTTTCCAACCAGTTAGACCTGAAAATAATTGGTAGAAATATTTCCGTTTGTCCTTTTAATCTTAAAGTAATTTAAGTATACACTGGTGGAAAACGTTGCTAATAACAACGTCACATCGCATTCTTCATATTTTGTTCTTAATAACATAATTTTGGTTTGAAAATAAGCTTAGTTGTGCTATAATGCACTGTATAATAATAATGACAATAAAACAAGCAACGAATCTTAAGGTCCCAGGAATAGCGTTTGTGGTTAACGTGTCGCTCTATAAATGCGAGGATGCCTGGTTCGCGTTCGTTGATGAACGATTTTGCCAAGCATTTGTGGCCATGTGAACGTCATAAGAGAGGTAGTTAAATCCTCCCTATTCGACTAGAGTAGCCCAAGAATTAGAACAGGGTGGGGTTGAGTAATTGCTTCCCTCTAATGTATCAGCTCAAATTTAGGAACGGTTAGCGCAGATAGTCGTTATGTAGCTTCGCGCGAATATCTGAAACAAACGAATAATAAAAATGCGCAATGCAGTTTTTTTTATATTGGACTTGCGGTTAATATAGTGTTCATGCATATGTGAAAGACGTGTACCACAGATTTGATTTATTTCTTTTCTTATAATATGGACAAGGTCTAAGAGTCTTTCGTTTCGTAGCCAAAATATTTTTGTGCGCCTCGCCGAACACGCGAAGTATTTTTTACGAGGCTTTTTTTAAAGCACATTGGATTATTTAGTGTATGACTCATGATTTTACTCGGTGCACTTTAACTACTTTATAATGAATATTTTTTACATTGACAGATAACGATAATCGAAAAGAAGCTGGATTGAAAATACAATAAATCCATTAATACTGTCGAAATTGTGAAACACTTAGCACGAATATCCTCACTTCCTGACCACTAGAACATTTTTGGCTACAACACAATGATTTTGTAGTTAGTTATTATCATATAACTTTACCGTGAAAACTGTCTATTTTAATTATTCTACGTATAGCAGTCACTGTGGGAAAGAAAGACAAGTACTATTAATGAGTAATCTTAAGACATAAAAAGATACACTTCTTTTAATTTTGTTAATAAGGGTCAAATGAAAAGACCCATGTAAAAGTCCTGCGCAATATTATTTTAAGTAATATTTCATCTTACGTGTAAATGCCTGTTTACAACGTATAGACATAATGCATGAGCAGTAAGGTATATGCAGAAACATTTAACCAGAAAGAAAACTCTATTATGGATATTAACGTCAGATGTTTATCTTCTTAAAATCCCTCATAGTTATCCTTCCTTAATCATAGTTGATGTCTCCTGTTTTTCAAGGGAATACCTCCATAGAACGGAAGTGTCTCCGATCTTCTTTTTCATTGCCATAAGTATCTCATCTTCGTGTTTTTTACACTAAGTTTTTATGTTTTGAATTTAAAAGTGGAGTTACTAGTTTTTTGTAGATAGGCCTATTTTGGTTTCATTTTTTAATCGCTAGAGTTTCTTTTATTTTGACATATTTTTCGTTGTTGAAACTACATAGTATGGAAAAGTTATTTTCATTAAGAGTTTCATCACATTCCTAATCTAAATCTTTTTATATATTTGACCAAGTATCAGCGTTAGACTTCAGATATTATTCTATACGTTACCTAAACGTCACATGGTTCATTTCACATAATCTTGTCCATGGTGAGAATAACATATCAATAAACATCGGATCACACAGACATTGACACTCAGTCAATACATGATGTTTTCATTGATTATTGATAACTCACCTTCAGACAAATATGAGACTGCATAAAGGAAACTTAAACCCGACGCCGGTCTACTAGCCGAGAAGACTGGAAGACTCCTTTGTGGTTGTATCTTTATGAAACCATTACCGCCAGAAGACTTTTCCTACCTATCTTCCCACTGGAACTCTGACCCATCGGTACAATGTTACCCATCAATAAGCAATATCAGTCTGTTTAGTATTTTTCTGAAACATGTGGACTTCTCCGTTACTACTCAAGAAATTAAGGAAGCCATAGAAAAAGATTTATCAACGGACATTCACATAGTACAAATGATTACGTCCCGAAAAACAGGTAAGATTACGAACTTCATGAAAATAGTAGTCAATTCCCGCAAGGCAGCTGATAAAACACTATAGAAAACATAACTACCACTCCCCGCCAGGTCAAAATCACATTTCCAAGGCTGCCTCCCTTCAAAACCAAAAACTTCAGTCAGCCCAGATTCCAACAAAAGACCAATAAACCCAAGCAACATGAAATAAAAACGTATTCACAGCTACAGAGTACACTACCACTTCCAGCCGTCGACTCAAACAACCACGAGAACTAAATGCAAGAAGATCTAAACCGATATACCCACACATTCGAAGCCAGTAAAAAATGAAGCCATAAGAACGCCTAAGCCCTTGGCTTGAGTCACCATCTTTTGTCATTGATAACAAACTTAAAGTTTGCTCCTGAAGAAGAAAGGTCCACCTTTCGAAAGCGCTCATTTCTATCAAGACTTCTTGAATCTACGTGTTTTTCTAACATCATGAACACTTAAAGATCAATAGTGTATGATGTCACGTGGGAGCTGGAAGTAAACATGACAGCAACTACTGTATCTGCCTATTGATCTTAAAAGAATGTGACTACGATAATTATAGGCGTCACCCAAATATAGTTTAAAAAGTCTGAATGGTATAAGATATGTGAAAAGATTTAAACAAACTAAACCAGCAATTATATTTATGAGATTTGCTTTGTTTCATCTACAAATGATGTTATTATGATATATGAAGATTACTACCTTTTACATAATATAAATCACTCTGACAATATCTTCGATTTTATAAACATTTATTATTCTTAGTACAATAAAAATTTGATATTTGGTCTACATAGAAGGGTATATATATATAGTAAAGACGTTCTGACATTACATCGATCTGTAACAAAATTATGAACATATATATCATTAATATCTTTATTAGATCCAAATTTGGACAATAGTTTTTGTTCGGATACATGTCTACATCTGTAATATCAATGCACAACCTTCTTTTTGTATGTCCACGTTGGACAGTTCTTTTTGATGAATTTTCTTATGTTGCAATTACGTGCAGGCAAGTCAAGGAAATCAAAATATTCTCATTCTGACTAAAATAGACACAGACCCAATGACTTCCAGGTTTATGACTTGGATACAATTTGATGATGTACGTCCGTTTTTCTGCGTGGTTAGGTAGCTGATTGCTAGTAAACACATCTCCAAGCTTCTTTCTCGTACAGAAATCTTGTGAGAGTATTGAATAAATCTCTACAGTGTCCATTTCTTCTTAAATATCAGTGATGACGTTTCCGTACTGGTCAATCTCTAAAATGGATTGAAATTCTGCATAGGTAAGAATATTTATAGTATTTGTTTGTTTCAAGTTAAGCACAAAGCTATACAATGGGCTATCTATGCTCTGCCCATCAGTGGTATCGAAACCCGGTTTCAAGCGTTGTAAGTCCACAAACATAGCGCTGTGCCACTGGGGGGCCATTTATAGTGTGAAGTAAAGTTTTACCAAATAGTATTTATATTAGTAGATATCTCTGTTTCACCAGGTTAAAGTGGGAATCACAACGTGCGATAAGTTAGATGTAAGATCAAATATAAAGAGTGTACATCCTTCTGAATATTCGTCAAATCCTATGCCAATTCCTTGATCTTGAAACTGTTTTTCTGTTCCATTAAATAATGGTTCATAGCTTTGTGCATATAGATCATTATCAAAATCGGGTTTTAAAGGTCGAGCAGGACTTTGTTTTCCATCCACATTAATGGCTACGGAATTGATACTGTAATGCATGAAATTGTATGGGTTTATCTTCCAAGATCCGTTAAGTGCATCATTATCAACACATCCTATAACAAGACCTGCAGATACTTGACTTTAAAATGAATTATTAATAGATGCTTGTAAGTTTCCCCTAGGAAATGATTTACACTATATATTCTTAAAAGGATATTTAGCAATTCCTTTCTGACAGGCTTTTGCGTGCAACAGAATCACCGAAGGACTGATTTCTACTTTTCTAACGTAGATAAAATCGTGTTATAGAAGAACTTTGAAATCTTATTCATCCCTCGACATAATACAAAATGCATCATTACTTCCTACAAAGTACAGTTTGAAAGTAACACTATTCAGCAAGATCTTATTTTGCAAAAAGATGTCCGAATTGTAGACGGCCAATCATATCAACAGTTTGACTACCTCGGTTATTTATGTATCAGTCTGTGATTCCATTGTTATCTTCATCGTTAAAGTCCAAATCGTCAAAACTACCCGCTGTGTCCTTTCCCCACACAGACGTAGTCAGGTAACTTTTCTTGGCTTCTCCATTAAAACTCAGTAGTATTTCTATGTAAGCTTTATAGGCATAGAGTTTGTGAGATGAAGGAATGAGTCTGTCACTCAGGTGTAGATCAACTTGAGCAAATAGAGAATGAATAAACAGATTCACAGGAGCACACTTATCTTCATCTTTCTTTTTATGTCCATCCCATTATCTTTAAAAGTCTTAGTCTTCTCATGTAGATACGAATGTAGCAGACCTATTTTTCATCTCCCGATCCTGATATAGAAAATTCGATGGGACCACTGTCACTCACTGATGAAAGAGGATAGTATTCTGTTCACTTACCTTCTTCAATCACTGTTTGTGTTGGAGAAAGAGGAAATAAATCTATCTCAGACTTTGTACATTGACAGGACTTTTCATGAGGTAGAAGGGACATATTTACCTGTCAAAAATATCAGGGATCAATGTTCTATGTCTCTTGGTTTTAGTGATTCTGAATGCTGGGCCTTTGCGTCTCTTCCTTTTATTAGGTAGTGGAATCTGTGTGACATCTCGAGTCAACTCTTGGACACGAAGTCAGTGCTGTTTGTGTAAAAGAGAAGTATTAAATTTTAAATTATGTCTAGAATAATGAAATCAAATGAAAATTATTGTGAACTTCTTAAAATCTCATTCCGTATGTATGATAACTGTTCTGCAAATTCTCTTCATCCGGTAGGATTAAAATTCCTTCGTTTCCGTAAAACATCATTGATCACATCTATTATGTTACTGTTCGGGACAGATCTTCCATTAATCACTACTTCTCCTCGATCATTCTATGTTACCCCTCCACTTGCATGTATTAAGTTTAATAATATCTTAGCTTTCTTTTTATATTTTAGAGGTACGCTGTCGATGATATCCAAACTTTTGCGAGTCGGCGGTTAACTTTAATAGATTCCATGGCTTGTGATTGAAAGGTTTGATGACATTGTTAAAGCTGATTTAACATCTTAGCTTTATCATCTGCAGGTAGGGTATTATTATATATGACAGATTTCATATCCTTATCTATAGAGTTTTATGAACGGATCTTTCGCAAACTTCACGTTCATAAAGCGCGGGTACTAGTTTTTCAAGAACGAGAATCATTTGTTTTGCATGTTTCATCTTAAAGACCAGCAGCCAAACCACCAAATAGTGAAAGTATTAGTGCTGCGAGTAATGGTAAAAATCCTTCCTTCTGTATTAGTAAGTTTCTTTTCTGCTTAGCAGATGTTTTCTTGTCAGTCAACGCTCTCAATAATGTCTTGTATCGTCTAAGTTTCTGCTTTTATATGTTCGTCATAGGAACATTAAATTTTAAAACATTTAAAGAACATTTACAAATACAAGTTATAAAATCATTGTTAGTTCCGGCAATCATATCTTTAATTTGTTTTTGTGTAGCTTTAGTTAATGGTCGGAGCAAATACTGGTGTTGTTTTAACTCTAGGTGTCATGATGAATAAATGACAAAAATAGAGCGTGTGAACAATATATAAATCAGTTTATTTGCACAAATATTTATAAAATCATTTACAATCCCCTGATTGTTGTCCATAATATATCAGTAGGCAGAAACGAATGTAATATGGTTTTCAAGCTTGTTTTATATAGTGGCTAAAATCATACTTTATGAAAATACATGCACCCACGTGTCTCACTTTCGACAAGGTCTGGTTAGAATACATTACACAATGTGTATATAGATTCTTTCTTTTGCTCCATCAGACTGTATAATCACGCTTACATTATTTGCTTCACTATAACATAGAAACCCGGAGGGATAGATCTGACTGGAAAACTATATAAATTCGAAAACTTAGACGCTGGGCTTATTAATATAGGCCATACAATTTAATAGTCGTAGAAATACTTTTCTCCTTTATCTATCTCTGATACAAGTCAGGTAACGTAAGATCAACATAAAATATTAAGTGCATATTATTTGATTATGAAAAAGATACAAATAATCCGTCAGCAAAGAAACAATAACATTTAACGTCCAGAAATTAATGAAAGGAAACTAAAACATAAACATCATATTTATTTTCATAGTGCTCACCTAGCTCTTTCTATTTATTTATTGATATTTCATTTATTCACTGCTATTTGGGGGATCCGCAGATGTGCTGTGATTGAACTTTTGTTAATAGAATTGTTCGCTTTCGAGGATCAAAATTAAAATTTAAGGTCGTTAAGAAATAAAAACTGAAAATTTCTGGGGGATGCATGTTGGTACAGTAGAGGCAAATAATATTTCATATTTTTTCTGGTTCATGGATTCATAACATTCCAAGACAGAGCACGCTAGCGTGAGTTTGATTTGATCTATACTTTCTATTCTCTATCAAAACCACACCGACTGTATATAGATGCGATCATACATCCATATGGCTTTATAATTTGTTCTTGAATTAGGCGGAGTTCAATCCCAAGTATCGTTCACTGCTTTTGATTTTACTTCATCCAACTTATGATGTTCTTCTTATGTTACTTCCTTTGCTCTAGGAGGGAAATTTTTGCTGAACTTCAGGTTTGAAAATGATGTCCGTCTTCCCAAGGAAAATATTAAGACGAAGACAAAAGCCAAATTATTACATTTTTCACTCCTGTTGTGAAATCTCTCTGGCCAGAAGTGTGAATAGGTTGGTCTTTTGCACAAAAGACGCTTAAATGGATTCATTACAACTAGCTTAATTTACCACAATTAATTAATTTGTCTGAGTAAAATATTGGGCCGAGGACTTTCTTCGTAGGGAATTTCGCCCATTACACGTGTTTGACTAATATTACTTCTCTTTTGTCAAGATCTTTCGCTCGTCTATGTATAGCGAAGTCTTTATGAAGTATCACGAGTAAACCAAATTCTATATAACTGGGGGTGGGGAAACTGTATTTAACTTGTAGCTTAAATAGATGTTTGAATCACCAAAGCACCTATTAAACTTCTTCACGTTTAAACTTGTACTAATAAGTTTATCTTTATCCATAAATAGATTCTTTTGCTGATGGATAAAGCTAGAGTTTCTACGATGTTCTTTCTCGCGCTCTGCTTTCAGTTTTCATTCTAGGTAAGTGTTGCTAAATGGGCAAATGAAATAAGTTTGCCTAGTTTATTCATATTTTATTCTTTTTTATACACTAATTTTCCAAGAATGTCAATAGCATTCTTTCTGTAACATTATGATAGCATTTACAATGACAATGGTACAATTTACTGACAAGTTAAATTAAGATTTTTTTTCTTTAAACTTGATTTCAGATAACAACATTTAAACATCGAATATCCATATTATAATATTGTATGTCAGTATAAAGGTTCTGAACATTTTAATATTATAATAGGTCATTTCAAATTGTTATGCAAATTGTGATTATCGTCTTTTTCTGGTTTTAAAACCATACCCTAAACAAGTGTAAAGAACCTTTATGCAAAACAGGAACTGGGCATAAAAAATAATATGATCAATGAATTAAAATGAATTAACTAAACTGTTCTCGCGCTCTGTTTTCAGTTTTAATTCTAGGTAAATATTTCCGAATGGGCAAATCAAATAAGTTTGCCTAGTTTATTTATGTTTTACTCCTTTTATTTACTGATTTCTCAAGAATGTCAATGGCATTCTTTCTGCAACATTATGATAACATTTACAAGCGCAATATCCATCTTCAAATATCGCGAGTATAAATGTTCTGAAAGTTTTCATATTATATTGGGCTCACCAGTTGGTAATTTCAAAATATTATGCAAATTTGTAATTATCGTCCATTTCTAGCTTTAAGGACCATACTCTAAACGAGTGTAAAAAACCTTTAAGGAAAATATAATTTACCGTTCTCGCAAAAGTAAACAGAGAACAGGAATTGTGCATAAAAAAAAAAACTATATGAACAATGAATTTAAACACAGATTAAATGAAGAAAACACAGCACTATATTTGTTATTAACTTTATAAACGATGCTTGATTATTTTGTACAATATACTACATATGATCGCAGGGCATCCTAACAAAACATTTCCATCCTTCGAATTAAATATCATAATGAACGAAACGAGACAAAAGACACAAAAGGATGCTTGAAGTACAGGAAATGTCCCAAGTTCAGTAAATCTTACTAAAATGTTGACTACGCCTTCAAATAAATACTTTTATATAGTGTAACACAAATACTTCGTTTGACAGGACTTCTTTAAAGAAAAATATAGCCTACAGTTTTGACAACCAACGAATATTGATTTTTTTTATTTCATACCGAAGTCATGCTGTTTATTAACTGCAGTGTTCGCTTTGTTTATACATATTTACATCATAAGAAGATCTACACGAACTAGCCTCATATGGTTACACAAACAAAGTAAGTATGATGTGTCAGGTGACTGCTTGAGTTCTATAGGTGTAGAAGTGTAATTACATCAAGCGGTTACTCTTCAAGACCACTGGTAAAGCATAGATCTTTCTCAATATCAAAATGGTATTATCCAGCCATGGCGTCATTACCAGCTATAGTTTCTTCGATCAATTTTGTATCTGTCATCATGATGGTTCTTTTCCAGGTCTTTTGAAAGGTAATATATTTACGACAAGGAAAATTGGGACAATCACTGCTAGTGATAGACCAAGAGAAAATGATATTTTTACACGTCTTGGATTTGAAATCCACAGCGGACAAATTAAGAGGAATATGGAAAATAAATAATTACACTTAACATGATTTTTATCACAACTCTTAGGCCTTTTGATTTATAATAATTCGCTAGTTTTAGGCGTTTAAACCGTAAATAAGACGGACTTTTAATAAGCATAGATGTTGGACCATGTCCCAGTTAGTCAGTTCATTTACAGCGATCATAATTTGACAATTTTCAGTCAAATTGTGTTAAGAACAAAACTGTCATAGGCACTTGAAAATCATTTGAAAGACAGATTTTCCTGAACTTGAAGCAGACAGAATAGCAAGACTTCCGTGTGCTTAAAGCGAAAGCTATATGCAATTAATATGTTACGTGTTCTGTTATATCGCTTTTCACCTTATCTGTACTGACGGAAGAGTAAAACTGAAAATCACATATATGATTGGGAAAGCAATGGCAATGCTCCTAAAAATAAAAAAAAATTACATTTTCAAAGTTGTGGGAAAATATCTGCTTTAGCTAATAATATGGATCATTGGAATACTGCTCTCTTGAATCTTTTCACCATAAGTCTAAAGCCGTTGCACATGTCACTGAGGAAGCTGTCAATACATCTGAATGTTTGTTATAAAATGTTGTGTGAATAATATTCATAAGTTGCGAATAAGGTATTTTGTAAATGATCTACGTTAAATTATTTTGTTTTAGAGGATATTTCAATATTAAATATAGCTACACCTTTTATGAAGAATCAGTAAAAAAACAAACAAATTATATATAC